TGGCTTTGTTATATACAGCGCTAACAGTTTGAAAATTCCACTCTACTATGTATTTTTTGTTAGTCTTGTTTAAGGTAGCCTCCTGCGCAGACGTTGTTAGTGGCCGAGGAGTTTAAGGTGGCTCTATACAGTTCCGTAGTATAAATATTTACCTTATTGCGTAAAAATTTCAATTTATAAATTTTATCACTTCATCTATTAATTTTAAGCATTCCCGAGTATAAATTAAGTATTTGGTAGAAAAAAATTGCAATATTCCTGAACATAATATTGTTTCCATGATAACAGTAGTCTGGCCAAATATTGTATTTTTTGCCATTTTAAGCAGTTTTTATTCTTTATTTTTCGAATATTGCCGGTGACACCCCCTTTTTAATACCTTGGCCCAGAGGTTTTTTTAGGTTTGGCGAACGCGAGAAAACGCGCGAAGAAAAAGGAAAAACATCTGGTGTATTTGTTAGCGATTCCTGGTTCGGATAAAGAATGCAAAAAATGTATAATGGCTTAATGCATCATATTTTAAAAATATTATCCAATCATTATCCTTGACGCCAGGCCGTCTAGACAGGGTTTTATCGCATGTTTACTGTCCAGTGTATGCCTGCCCATTTGTAGCAATATTCATTCTCCTGAATTTCATTCAATTTAATATAAATATATATTTATATTCATTCACTTTAATCTTGCAATATACATTCAAAAAAATCTGTATTTTATAAATTTATTAAACACACCTCTTTGGGCCGACGTGAACTTTGTCTGTTTAATAATACAAAAGCAAGCAAATTTGTCTTGTAGATTTCAAATGAAACCATTCCTCTCCATTTCGCATTTCGAATAATAGACTGGGGATTACAAAATGCGAATGTAAACTCTCCATCTAGTATTGCTTTCTCGTCCTCTTCGTTTGACAGTGAAGTAACACGGCATCCACGCTTTCTTAGTTCACGGACGTGAGTCGTGAGCGTCAATGAAAGAGTTCAATTTGCAAATGACTATTAAGATGGGTTTCTCCAGAAAATTGACTTTTCGCCGGTCGGGCCCGCGATCGACGGTTTTCACAAGAGTTTGAACGTTGAACATGGCATTTTGTACCTTAAAATGTCTTCTAAAAAGACTAGTTATTCAATGTTCAGGGCTAAATCAGAACGAAGTTTGTTCTTTGAGAACAAATGAGAACAAGGAAGACTCAAAACATCATGAAAATAAACATGACTTGTGGTTCGGATTTTAGATTGAAAAAGTTGTATTTATTTTTGCATATATTTAAATATTTTTAACATTTTCGCGCGAAAACTCAAGATTAGGTACCAGTCAGTATGGAGCCACCTTAAGATAAGTGCTTTTCCATTTAAAAATAAAGATAAAAGCTATATTTTCCACGCGAAGGCAACTTTTACTTTGTGTAGCGCGGCGCCATGTTTGTTTTGTTTTGAAGCAATCTGTGACCGTTACTTCTTTAAACTAAATTGTTTTAAACCTGATTGGTTGATTTAATCATCGCAATGTTTTTCCACCAATCAGATCCTTTAAGATTGCCTTTTAGCCTTTGAAAAGGCTGAAATTCAGTTTCTCGTAAACTGGCGATTTTCTCACTGGCGATTTTCAAATAACTTTCAAAAAAGATTCAAAATTTCATAACAATGTATTTTCTGCAATAAAAAAGGTTGGTCACCGTGGTTATTTGTCCGCTAAGACGGCTTTTTTGGTTGATATAGGCCATATAGATGGTGACGTCATGTTGTCATGGTAAGATGAAGAGTAGCGATTGTGTGTTATAATTACTTTTTTATATAAGAGGAAACAATGGCTTGTGCAAAAAATTAGATTTTTTACATTCAAATTAATTAAATAGGTTTTAGTTTAAAACACTGACTTATATTGGAAACTGTAGGGAGCCTCTTTAATATTCATGTTTGCCGGATTTTCTCAAACTACTTTCCCAAATCAATTTTGTTTGAAGGACATTTTTCACAAATGATGTGGAAAGACAGTCAAAGAATTGGCGTTGGAGAATCCGGACAAACTGCCAGATACTATCTCGTTGCATCATATTTCCCTGCTGGTAATATAGAAGGTCGCTTCGAAGATAACCTGTCGTCTTTCAGTAAGTTATATTTAGTGTTTTGCCCCGGGAGGTTTCTGTGCTGTGCGCAGGGGCCGCCGAGGGCGGTAGCGTCCGGGGGTGTAACACCGTCCCCTTAATAATTGTGCATAATATATTTCAGGTAAATGTCAGATAAGTTTAATTGAAAATTCAGTTCCCCGTTTCATGCGCATAATTAATTAAGTAAATAATTTAGGAAAATTAATTAAGTAAAATATTAAGGAAATAATTCATGAGTTATGCAAATTAATTATCATAATCAATGACGTATATTTCCGATGATTTTCCGATGATGATAAAACAACGAGTGCTTTCCGACTAGCTGCCATTTTGTTTCAAGATGGCTGAAGGGTTAATAATGGCGGTTTTAAGGGAAAATAACATTGAATTGAGTGAGAAAACTTTTCATTTTCATTTAAAAGTGCTTTTGGAAAAGCATGAGGGTTTATTTGAAAGCATGATAGCTCGTACTGGAAGAGAGAACGCACTTGAACATTTATGTGTAATCTATCAGGAGTTAGAACCTTCAAATTTTGGTAGAATTATCGCTTACTTGATATTAGTTTTTAAAGTTAGTGATTTTTGTGACGCTGAAATTGTGCAAGAAGCCATAAGAATCTCTGTATGTGAATTAAAACAAGTGGATATAGCTAGCTTTGAGATAAAACAATCTTGGACGCAATACTTAATATCATGGTTCACGACTGAAGGCGGATTTCCAGTCCTCGCACGAAGCTCCTCGCAGTTCGCTGCGAGTGATGCATGAGCACTTTCATCCAATTACAGACTGGTTACTTAAGTCAATTGGTGCAAAGATTGATACGCGGCAGTTTGGCTCCGTTAAAAATTCCTCGGCTACCCATGCCCTACTGAGCCTGATCCATCACCTCCTGAGTGCTACAGATGCTTCAAGCAATGCGGTGAGAGTGTTCTTGCTTGATTTTGAAAAAGCTTTTGATCGAATAGATCACAACATACTGGTGAATAAGCTACAACAAATGAGTGTTTCCCAAACCATTATAAATTGGATTAGAAGTTTTCTCTCTGATCGTAAACAACGAGTCAAGTTGGCTAACTGTCATTCGGACTGGCAAACGTTAAACGGTGGAGTGCCGCAAGGGTCGGTGTTAGGGCCGGCTTTGTTCCTTGTTATGATAAATGATCTTCTTATTGATTGGAGCGATAGATGGAAGTATGTTGATGACAGTACGTTTGCTGAACGAGTTACATCAACTGAGAGTAGTGAACTACAAGATCTAGTGAATTTTATCTATAATTGGTGTGAAGTTAATAATATGAAGCTCAACATCGGCAAATGTAAGGAAATGGTAATTGACTTTGCAAGAGAAAAACATGAGTTTTTACCGTTAACTATAAATAACGTTGGTATTGAGCGGGTAAAATCTGCCCGAATTCTTGGTCTCTCAATCCAAGATGATTTGAAATGGAACGAGCATGTGAACCATATTGTTAAAAAAGCGGGAAAACGCCTTTATATGCTAAGGTTGTTAAAACGATCAAATGCCGACAATAGCATTCTAATTTTGGTATACTGCACCATTATCAGACCAGTACTCGAATATGCCTGCCAAGTTTGGCACTTCAATATTACAGAATACCTAAGTGAAGATATCGAAAAACTCCAGAAGCGGGCTCTGCGTATTGTCTTGCCATTCGCTATTTATAGAGAAGCTTGCAGTATTACTGGTATACCCTTACTGAAAGATCGGCGGCGATTATTATGCGAACGTTTTTTTGTTAAAAATGCACATGGAGACAAATTGGGTGACCTCTTACCGCCTAAACTTGAACATAACTATAATACACGTTATGGAAGCGATTATAATAACTATAGTTGTAAAACGGACAGATTTATGAAATCGTTTTTTCCACAGATGGTTTCACATATGAATAGACCATAATTTTAATATTTTTAATATTTTTAAATTTGAACTCTATAACTTTTTCAACTGAAGTTATGAATAATTTTATGCATCTAGATATTCTATTGTAGTATAATGAGACTTTTTACTGATGTAATTTAACCTAATAGGTTACAAATCGGTATTTTATTAAATTATTATTATTAATCACAATGCTAATACTTCGGGCCATTGGGCCTAAACGGGCCTTATGAGCAGATAAGCATGTGCTCATGAGCAGTTATGAGCACATGTTTATCCGCTCATCGCACAAAATTGTACCAGACACAGTGGTTCGGAACTTCGGGTTAAACGGGCCTTATGAGCATTCGCTCATGAGCAATCTCAAAATTTTGTGAAAAACTCATTTTCAAAGGCTTAGTATGTAATGATATCAGTGCAGAACAATTACGTAATACTTGCGTTGATACGATTCAGTTATTAATGGTATTACACGCCGGTTTCAACATTCGGACAGTGTTGATAAGCGTTGGCTTCTAGGTGGTTTTTGCAGGTTCCAGCCAGATGATTTGGTCAAAGAGTTTTCAGCTTTTGGACATTCAAAGGACTCCATATTTACGGCTGGGATACTGAGACTGTTCACTAAGTCTTTTTCATAATGTCCGCCTTTGTAGGCAATGGTAGAGTTGGAGTCTACGTAAAAATATTTGTACTTTTTGTAGTTTTCGGGCCAAAGCGTATTTACAACATTTCACTCACTAGGTTTATATATATTTTAGTGTTCTGTTCGGGTTAATATAACAATGTTTTAATAGCTTAATTATTGTGTCTTATTAAGCTATCAGTGACAATTTCTCCATAGCCTTCGTTAGTGAGGAAATTGGCAATTCCCCATATTATAGTCAGCGTAAGCATCGTGTGGATTTTCCCGTGCGCTAGCAAAGGTAAGCCCAGTTTCAGCTACCATGTACGTGTATAGCGCTGGATTACTCTGCAATATACCAACTCTTTCAACGTGAGGAAAATGCAGTTGTCTGAACGAGTGTTCCAGCTGGAGTTTCCATTAAAAAAAAAACGCACGACTTTTCTCGATCGTTTTCCCCTTCCTCTTTGACTTTCCGTACGCAAGCATTCAATCCGTGTCCGCACTTCGGTTTTGGCAACTCGTGTCTGTCATCCCACTGCCAGAAATTACATGGGTTATCGCGGTCGCAAGAAACAAAAAACGGCCTTTCAAATTTCAGTTTACTAACGTCTTTGACGACTTTCACTCTTGCTAGTCTTTGGTGAGTATCACACACCAGATGAATTGGTCCATTCGCTCTCCACATTGTCATAGCCGTTTCGTGCAACGAGCGATCTTGATCAGGGCAGAAAAATTCACATCTCTTGGGGTTATTTTTGTTGCAAAGCCAAAATTTTCCATTTTTTGCCGAAACCGTGGACGCTGGTAATCCATGCAAACAATCCATTGCTGTAAATTATGGCAATGATACTGTTTGATGCGCGATATTTATGTCCTGTCGTTAAAGCCAGTTTCGTACTAAGTCAGCATAAACCATTGAACTAAAATATTTGGAACGCTACGTGCAGCCGGAAGTTTGAAGCCGCGATTTCCGTTTAGAACCAAGTCTTTTCCCGCGAACAATACGCGCGGCCAAAACACAAGCATTTAAATTGTTTTAAAATATCAATCATGTCGCTGCCGAAACATTTTTTTATTGAATAAACTTTGTCTTTTTTTAATGAAGTTCATGAAGACTATGCCTAGTTTTTATTTAGAATTTACACTTTTGTTATTTCGGTTTTGTTTTTCGAAATGCCAAGTGAGCAGAATCCAAAGAAGTTAGTAAACTTAGTAAATAAATCCTTCATATGTACTTTTGAACTACCTTTAAACATGACAATAACAACCCTTATGAGGCATGAATGAGAAATAAAAAGAAATAGATAGCAATAATTACAAATACACAAGTTTTTTTTACATATTAAACATCTTATCACGAATCAAATTGCCAGGTAACAGCTCCCTCCAGCGGAAAACTCAGAGCGCATTTTAACACTGTCAATTGAAGATGTAGAGCAATTTCCACTGCAAAAAATCATTTTTATTGATATACATAGGTATTCAGTTATTTAATTACACATGCCAGTCGGATGTGTCATACGTTGGTGTACCAGTGATGCACACTCTTCTGCGGAAGCTATTGCATTTCACAGGTATTTATTTTTTGTTTACTTTACTAAAAATTCACATTTCACAGGTATTTATTTATTTTAGTTTACTTTACTAAAAATAAACATCGTTTCCTTCCAAGGTTCCCAAGGTGGGCAAACGGAGAAACAATGTTTCCGCAACAAAGATCTTACTAGGGAAACGTCAAATGTTTCTGAACTTGATAGGAAACATTCTTGTTTCCCGGGAAGCAAAATTTGTTTCCGCAACAATGTTTCCACGGGTGGGCAAATGGGAAAACATTCGAGGAAACATTGAGAATTACAAATGTTTCTGCAACAATGTTTCCTAGTTTGCCCAGGGCTTAAGTGTACACACAAAAACAAACATAAACCTGTAATATTAGATACTTCAAAGAAAATATAACAAAAACAAGCCTATTTTACACATTTTGACTTTTGATATGTGTACATCACCTACAACAAAAAACAAAAATAAATAAGACAAGCAAACAGACAGAAGGGTGAAAATAAAGCTGAATTTACATAAAAAATATTTTTATTGTTATAGATTTCCTTTGAAAAATAATGCTTTTTTACTAAAATGTTGTGAGAATTATGTTCAAAAAGTTAATAAAAAGCCATGGCAAGTCAACCGGTACAGTCGTATATGCAGCCAGAATTTCCAATCAACTGATTATATCTTGCCTCCTTCATCCAACAACACATGTCGACTCAAAAAATATGCTTTTCCATCTGATTCACCTGTACATTCTGACCCATGCACCAACATTAACAAGCACATTATGCGGAATTAAACAGAAGAATAAACAAGAGACCATGTCCAGCCTATGAAAATGATGCTTCAATTCCAGAAAAAAAGACCAAGATGTGTCTCAAGTGATGAAAGAGATGAATTACACACAAAATTACAGCAAAAAATACGTACACTACAGCAAAAACTAAGAAGAACCAAAACGAAGATGAACACCATGCATGACGTTATTCAATTCCTAGAAGAAAAATTAGTGTTAAATCCCAAAGAATCGGAAGCTCTGCTGTCCACCCTCAACAACACTCAACTCATATTTCTCTACAACTTCCAAGACAACATCAAGTCTGCCCCATCAGCAAGAAGATACAGTGACGAAATTAAAGAATTCGCATTGACATTGTATTTCTATTCTCCCTGGGCATATAAATATGTCAGGTCTTTGGTTCCACTCCCTAATCCATCACTGACTAGAAAGTGGTCTTCCTCATTCAAGTGTGATCCAGGCTTTATTGATGAGGCATTCACATCCCTTTCTCAGAAGGTAGCCCAATCAAATAATGACAAAGATTGCTGTTTGGTAATAGACGCAATGTCTATCCGAAAACAAACCATCTGAAATCCAGAAAAAGACTCATACTCAGGATTTGTAGACTTTGGAAATGAGATTTTTAATGAACATCCTGAAAAATTAATTGGCCACAGAAGCTTTGGTTTTTCTTCTGGAAGGCACCAGAAGTCATTGGAAATGTCCAGTGGGATACTTCTTGGCTGATAAAATGAATGCAAAGGACCAAGCCACACTGGTAAAAAAAATGTCTTGAAAAAGCTGCAAATGCTAATCTAAAAGTGTGGTCAGTAACAGCTGATGGAACAGCTGTTAACATTAGTACATTCGAAACACTGGGTTGCAAATTTTCTGGTAACTATGAATCTATCAAAAGCTCTTTTAAGAATCCAACAACCAAGGAAGATGTCTTTGTGATACTCGATCCCTGTCACATGCTCAAATTGGCTAGGAATGCACTAGCAGATATGGGATCCTTTATTGATGGAGATGGCAACATCATAAGATGGAAACATATCGAGGAGCTTCAGAATATTCAAGAACAACTAAGAAGGGTTGAACCTGGCAAACAAACTGTCCTCAAATCACATACAATTTCAAAGTCATAAAATGAAAGTGAGTCTTCTGCACAAACTTTAAGTTGCTCTGTTGCAGATGCGATTGAGTTTTTGGACTTGACACAGAATTTGTCTAGCAACAGCAAAGGAACAACGAGATAAACCTTATGTATGAACATTTGGCATTTCAAGAACATAGTGAATCCATTCAAAATGTTTTGTTTTATATCTCTGGGTACATTGTGTCAAAACTCATGGACAAACTGTCTTGTTCAGAGTGCAAAAAATGCCTGGTGCCTCTGCCTACACAGCTGCCAATCAATGGACATGACTATACTGCAAGTTTATATCATGAATGTGGAAAGGCATCATCTTTTACAACTTTTGTTAATAAGGTGGTTTGCAGATACCGTCAACATCCGTAATAGACGGTTATATCTTAGCAAACAGAAAAACCGATGGCCAGATATTCAGAATTGGACGAAAAGAGGACGTAATTAATATCTATTCTGATCGATAAACTCCTTTTGAGCTTTCTTGTTCAATTTTCCTTCTATTCTAAATGATCATCAGTAATTTCCTTAATACTTTGTCCTTCCGTATATGTGTTGTCATTGTGGTAATCTGTTTGGTAATTACTCCGTCACCTTGTTTTTGTTCAATTTCTAAAGCAAATATTTGCATATTTTCACACTATAGATACCGTATTATTTTAGTTTCAGTGTGCAGTATACAGCGGTATGAGGTACGGACGAATTATAACCTCCGTACTAATTATAACCTTAGTGTACCTCCCTCGCGTACTGAACGGCACAAAAAATAATTTCTACCCTCTGCGATTAGATTATGGAATTTACTGCCTGTAGAAGTTCGAAATTGTCAAAATCTTGCTGTGTTTAAGAAAAGATTAATTAAATGGAATAAGTATCCTGTTCGTAATCGCCTATATTATTTTGGTAATCGTTATCTAGCTGTACTCCATACAAGATTAAGGTTAGGCAACAGTGCACTAAATTACAATTTATATCGCATGAGTTGTGTTCCCTCGCCACTGTGTGCTTCTGGAATATCAGATGAGTCTACATTGCGACCGTTACGCTGCTCCTCGCAACATTTTGCTTACCTAGGTTAATAGGAAATACTTGGTCGAAGCATCCAATCGAACTAAATTGAACTGGATGTTGAATTGAACTGTTCGTATAAATAGTCATTTGTTCACAATAGTTTAAACGTATATTGCTGAAACTAATAGGTTTTCTCATTAATCATTGCAAAATTGTGTCCCTCTTTATGTATGTTCATGCCTCTGTGTGTGTTTAGTCCTTCTTCATGTATATATCTCTTGTATATACGCGCGTTTGTATATCTGTGTTACATGTGTAAGTTATATATTTATATGTGTATAAACGTTTGAAAAATACATAATAGTTAGTTTTTAACGAACTGTTCTGTATTTTTTCTCCTATTCTCCTTTCTTTTTTAAAAAATATTGTATATTAAATTACATAAGTTTCCTCGATAAGCCCTAGCTGCTTTTGAAACAAATGTAAAGTTTATATATTGTTTAAATAAAAGTTCTTTCAGTACTGCGAACATATTTTTAGGTCAACTATAACAGGAGAAACCAGCCAGTACATTAGCCACGAATCCAATTTGAAGAAAAAAATGATTATCCAAGTGTGCCAACATTTCTCCCTTGTAGTATAGAGAGTATATTTTTGAGTCGTTAGAGGCCCGATATCCTCAAGAAGACTCCACAGGCACAAGAGGAGAAGACCAAGAGAAAGACAACCATGCCGTAAGAACGGGCTTGTCTTCTTTAGTTCTTTAGCGAAATACTGTTAACTCTGATCAGCCTACGCCCTAAAGTTTTGAAAGACATACCGCATACAGCGATCGGTATCGTCGGTTGTATATCCGTTTTACTCGCTTTCTGACGCATAAAATTTAAACGCTTGGAAAATCGGGTCGTACAACAGCCCACTATCCACCACTAAGAGTGTTTTAAGACTGCTCGAAATACAAAAAAATTATAAATTGTCTGTTCGGTGCCTGGGGATAAAAAAGGTTAAATTCATCAAATTGCCATCAAAATATTGAAACAAAGTATCAATGCAATCACATGCAGATACTCGGATAACTTTGCTGACTTTGCGGAGATGCGCGTCTGCACCACAGGCTAAGACACTCGATAAGGCTAATTTCCACTGTTGCGTTTTTCATACGCACGTTCACGCACTTCAATTTTTTAAATATTTTACAAATAAGTTAACAAATGCATACTAAAACTTGCGGAACACTAAATGCTGTTGCTTTATTTATTTGGTTATTCCATGAGTAACATTTAAACGGATTTAAAGTTTTACGTGCGTATACGTACGTATCAAAAACGCAACAGTGGAAATCAGCCTTTACTCAGACTATGTGCACACAGTAACGTTTCCGAGTGTTTTTAGTTGTAATGCGTTTCTGAAACTGAAAGTACCATTTTCACGTTCTGTTTACACGAAGACGTATGAAAACGACGTCAGGAAACGATGCCAAAGATTCGTTTTCTATGTCTGGAACGTTTGGTCGTTTTGGCACTTTGTTGTCGTGTGTGCATGGAAGGCGAAAATGAAACGCCGTGTTTGAATTTGGAAACGAAGACTAAAAACTGACTAGTGTTTTGTCAAAAAATTGGTTTATGGAAAAATAATCAATGTGAACAAGGCGCCTAAACGCCAAATTTGAAATCCCCACTGCAAAAACGCTCAAAACCGTTGCCGTGCGCACATAGACACAGTCTCAATTTAGGACTTATTTAAAATACAATATAGACCGCTATGCTAAATTTAATTTTTTTTCAGCTTTATATGTTTAATATAAATAAATTAAAATAATACTCCTGTTTGAAAGCAAACTCACGAATTCATTCATGTTATTAGGGCAGGTTCATATTGAGCTGTGGTTCCAGTTATTGCGTGCTTCGATTTCGTAACCTTATATATGCTTGTTCTTAAAATGTCATATTTTATATATAAAAAAACCTGATTGCTTTGCATAGCAACCGACACACGAACAGGCATCCATTACAAAACAAGAGCCACATTGGTGTCCCTTATTACAACGACACCAATATGGCTCTCATTATACCTATATGTAAACTTTAAAATTTTTTGAAAAACTCGGCAAATTCAACTAGCGTCACTCGGCAATTTGACCTTCGACACCCCCCCCCCCCCCCCCCCCCCAATCCATATCCCTTCGCAACGGCCCTGAATCAAAGTATCAGACATAAGTTTAATAAACTGATTTTGTTCAACAACCAATAAGTATTTAAATTTCACGTTCATGAATGTTTAATAATAAATTTTAATATAAAAGCACTTACGTGTTTACAAGTTTTATACAACTTTACAATACCACTCTGAATCTCTGATCCATGTCGTTTGTGTACACATTCAATTTGACATTCAATTTGAACGAAAAAATGTTTAATTTCCCCCGATTTACCAATCGAATACATGTATGAAAAATTATGATTCGTACTGTATTGAATCAAAATTTAACCCGGATCACTGACCTCCATAACAAGAGTAGCGCCTTCCTTTTCAATCACATGTTGCTATAAATGCATGTTGGTTGGCTGTCGCTGTTCTTTGGCGCCACGCAGAAACGCGACAACGCGCATGAATTCTACCTACAGACACGCGTGTCTGGAGATAAAATCTGGCTTCAGGCAAGTCTGGGCATGTTCAGTTGAGGTAGCGTTCCATATATTTTAGTTCAATGGCATAAACGCGTCCGGTGTAAAAGTACAATGTGTACGTTCAGCCATGTACGACAGTTAATGACTTTTGCTATTCAACCCGGATTAGTGATATGCAAATTTTGCTAGGTCATTAGAATAGGTAATCATGCGATGGTGAGTACAATTAGGGATTAATAGTATGAGTGATGTTTGGAAATTTTGCCAAAATTGGACGAGCCGCCGGGCGAGTCCAAATTTGAAAATTTCCAAACATCACGAGTACTATTAATCCCTAATTGTACGAGCAATATCGCATGATTACTTGTTTATTATTAGCATGACAAAATTGGATACTTCTCAATGTCAACATCGTATTCTCTCGCCAAAGCCCAGTCCTGCCATACTTTCAACCAAAATTTGGTGCTTTTGTTCGTATTTTCATTTAGTTCTTTTGTTAAACTAATTGTACGAGCAATATCGCATGATTACTTGTTTATTATTAGCATGACAAAATTGGATACTTCTCAATGTCAACATCGTATTCTCTCGCCAAAGCCCAGTCCTGCCATACTTTCAACCAAAATTTGGTGCTTTTGTTCGTATTTTCATTTAGTTACATGGTGTATCAAAATAAAGGCAATTCATCTTTTGTGCTTAATAACTTTCGAAATACTATTTCTAGTTAAACGCTTTTAGGCTTACTTCAAAGCCTGTTCTTTTCCCTTTCAAACAAACTATTATCCTTGTCTCCAATGCTAGTAATAATTGCACAGGAAATGATTTAGTAAAACTTATCATTTTTAGTTGCTGTTTAATTATGCAAGTTTACTATGTTATTGTTTAGTCAGTTTAAATGTTAGAATTTTCTTCTTTAAACTTTAATATTGTCGTCACTACATCTGGAAAACCACGTAAGAACAAATTAAAAGTATTTTAAAAGAGACCAGGTTGTTTGAAAATCCTAAACGAATGCTAAAAATCGTCAAAACATTCTGGTGTCTGAGCCAGAGTGTCATCGAATTGCGATGTAATGTAAACAGAAATTATAGCAAGTTGATGTCAGTCAGCTTAGATGGTCCAAGCCAAAATTATATCGCATTTGAAGTTTCAAACTGAGTTAAAAATAGTGGAAGAAAAGCCGTAATTATACTTATTGTTACAATCCATTTAATAAAATGCAACATTTTTTTGTTTTAATGAAAAAAATCAGTTATTTTCATGAGAACGATTTGTTATTCCATCTCAATTTTTTTAATCTCCAATCGCAATAACGTAAAGTATTATTACCCGCGAACCAATGAGTCAAATTTAAGAAACAACCCACTGTTAGAAAGCTGAATGGCTACGCTTTAAAATGAATGTCAACTTTAAGTCTTTAACGTTTTCGTCTATTATTTGTTTAGCAATTTACATTTCAGTCGAGGATTGCGCTTTTTTTGATACACCCTGTAGTTCCTCTAGGGCAATTTCATTTCACATTTGTGATTTTGTTAAAATACCTTTCCGCCATTTTGTGAAAATCATTAATTGTACCGCAGTACAAGTAATGAAATAATTGTACTCCTCTCAACCAATCAGCATCCAGTAATTTTGTCATGCTAATAATAAGTCGTGTAACCATGCCGCAATTAAGCGTTGCGTCCAAGATTGTTTTATTTCAAAGCTAGCTATATCCACTTGTTTTAATTCCCATACACAGATTCTTACGGCTTCTTGCACAATTTCAGGGCCACAAAAATCACTAACTTTAAAAACTAAAGTCAAGTAAGCGATAATTCTACCAAAATTTGATGGTTCTAACTCCTAATAGATTACACACAAATTTTCAAGTATACGTTCTCTTTTCCAATATACGAGCTATCATGGATTAAAATAATGAACCCTCATGCTTTTCCAAAAGCACTGTTAAATGAAAACGAAAAGTATTCTCGCTCAATTCAATGTTATTTTCCCTTAAATCCGCCATTATTAACCATAGATGTAGGAGAACTAGATTGCTGACTGTATGAGTATTCAAAATGGCGGCTCAACCGGTCAAAAATCATAGAGCGGTATAGGGAAAAACCATGTTTTTTGCATTTTGCGTTGTCTTGAAGCTTCCGATCCCATTCTATCACATTATTTTGGCAAGAGCTAACTGGTATGAAGGTTTTGGATGAATATTTGTACAATTTAAGTTCAATAAAGACGAAATAATCGATCGCTAAATATTTTCTGAAATCATCACATGGTCGATCGGTTGAGCAGTTCGAGACATTTTGTTGCAGAAAATAAAGGTTTTGGTTCTTTGGGTGCTTTTTTTCTCGAGGATCTTGAATTGGGATATATAACAGGGAATAATATTGTGAAGTATTTTGAAGTTAAAACCTATTTTGCTTGATTTACCTGGTCTTCTGGTGCGAAAACTCTGATGCTCTGTTTGCAAGTGTTTAGTGTGGCTTTGATGACCTCCTTTGCTGCTGCAGATGTCGGGATCTCAAGTTATATGGCCTGGACAGTGAAAAGTGATGAATCAATCAGAATTTTACAGAGAACTAGTGACAGCAAAAGTTTTCAATGGAAACTAGCTTGAAGTACCTGACTCTAAATTTGTCTAGTTTCTACTCAAACCGATTTTCTCCCACAACACAAATTGTTTATCATTAACTGTGCACAGGACTGGAATTGAATATTTCGATTATATACTTCAATCACCCATGCATGTCCTTCAAAACATTCTTGACATGATTGACCTCTTTGCTCCAGTAATGCATGTTACTCAAATAGTTTGTGTGTGTTACTCAACAGTTAACATTGGCCAGTGTAAGCAACAAGATTCAAATTGAAAATTCAATGAGTATGGATTGAATTGACAAGTGACATTTTACTAAATAGCCGGCTGTATAGAGACTTCAAATTTTATTTCATGTGTATTACGTTTGACTTTAAAATCTTATTTGCTATTATATTTATTATAATAAGTGATGAAATATTTTACAGGTTTTTCGCATTTTTCTCATTGGTACATTTATTTCATTAAGGGAACATTCCTATATCATGCGTTTCAAGTGTGGTTGATTTTGCAAACCCTGGTACTGGTAGTGAAGTCGAAATCCGTCGAAAAAAGCACCGCTATTTATTGGAAGCAGCAATTGCTAAAGCAATTCCAATGTTATTTTACAACAATTCTGCACCATGTAACTGGCCGTTAGGGCCATCGTTAATACAGAAAACTATTCGACGAATGGCATACGGGGAAGAAGGTTATCCAGGTAAGTGTCTGGATTTGGGGCATTTGCACTCGATATAACTAATTGTAGAAGGGTTATATAGATGGAATTTCGATGGTGAAGTTTTATACATTCATTAGAAAAAAACAGGAACAGTAGCGAACTGCCACCCTACGATTCCAGTTAGTTATAAACAATGTATAAAAATTCGCACTCGAAATTTTCCTTCTGCAAAGGTAATACAGCACATGCATGTACAGTCATGTATCATCAGGTATTAGGACGGATATTCTGAGATTGATTGATTGATTGATTGAAACCCGTAATCGTTAAACACAGTCGTTGAGTCAGTTTTCTACATATATTGTTCTTTTGTAAGCGGTGTACAGCTCAACCTTTATTAGTTAAGATACACCCCGGGGAATTACGGAAATGCCCATCTTACACAACAACGCTCATTCGCTCAACAACGCAGAAGCATCGCAGGTAGGTTTGGTTTAGTCGGTAAAGCAAATTTGGGAATTCAAATTGACTACTAACGGAATTCTATTGAGTAGGTTAGAGATTATATTTAATGGTAATAACTAATTAGTTGTATTCTTGTGATCTGAACTATTGAGATTGCAGGTACATTTTTGAAACCGTTCCTTGTTACCATTTGGTTTTGCCTCCGGCAAGTGGACTTGGTGTTTTGGATACTTTCAAATACTATCATCAGGTTATACAAGGGGAAGATAGGCATTCTACTATTATTTTAGATGATTATATCTGCAACACACTCGAGATCATAGAAACCCAGAATACAACTAAGCTGGTGTCCATGTACGATGAATATCATGCAGTATAACTAACGTACATGAAATACCCAGTCTCTTTACTATAGCACCACAACGTATACGATCGATTTTAATTTGCCTGCGTTTACGAAGTTGAGTAATGTTCCACTACATAGATTTAAAGCTATTCTCCGGGACAGTTTAACTTAACTTAATCATGACTTGTAAATAGTTGGAAAGTATTTCCGTTTTTAAAGATGATTAAATAATAATAATAATAACAATAATAATAATCGATCATAGATAAACGTTGCGATCATAGTTTTGATAATCGCAGTGCCACGTAAGGTCATGCCACGTGAGAGGCCTCGAATTATTCAGGATGTGAATTACAAATCTTTGGATTTAAACGCTTTTACTATAACGATCTACAAAAAGCACTATGGGAGTTAGTAGAAAGTCTTAACGACCCAAACGACATGAGGCTATAGTCCTGGCTACTTCAGTAGTGGTTTATATGCCTGTGCACCAATTCTTACTAAACGTGTTAGAAACCATGATGTTCCTTGGATTACCATGTGAGAACTTGAAAGTTAAAACAATCATATTTCGTAGGAATTATCTAGTTACGAAACGCGGTGTGGCAAAAACGTACCAAATCAGACTCTACTGGTACGTCGAGTACTGCACTTTGTGGAATAAACTAAACTATGAGCTTTACTAGTGCAGACAAAAGTACTTGAGAAAGGAATCATTCTCGTATAGTTAGAGCATTCAGGCTTGAAATATATTTTCTTGCCAATGTCTTTTAATTAAAGGCATATTTATGTTCGGGTATTATTTATACAGTCGATATTTTATATGTATTTCTTAATCTGTATCTATATCTTCTTTACTTCCTCTGCTAGGGATTCCAGAATCTTTGTTCCAGAAACTGACTGACATGGAGAAGGAGACGAGAGGTTCGACTATGTTATCAAAACCAAAGAATAGTTACTTATTTTACTGGTCGGGAGGCCAACACTGAAAAATGGTTTTCCGACGTTCGAGGTTTCAGAAGAATTATAGTTATTCACTGTTTGGGAGGTCAATAGTCTAGAGGTGTGCATCGGATCGGATTGGACGTTTATAATCCGACAATTGGCTAATGTTTTAAACCCAATCCGATCCGATCCGAAATTGTCTAATCCGAATCCGATCCGAGTTTTGATAAAGAATTCCGATCCGATCCGAAGAATCCTTTAATAAAATAAATTTTTCATTCAAGTGGAAATATTTAACCAAATAATAATAATAATATTAATAATATATAATAACCAAATAATATATAATCAAATAATTCATTTTATTTCGAATATCGAAGTCCGATCCGATCCAATCCGACTACGAAACAACTTTACCAATCAGATCCAATCCGAAATGAATATTTTTGTTCCGAAATTCGAACGCATCGGATCGGATTCGAATCGGATTTGCACACCTCTAGGACTCAATACGGCTCTGTTTAAAATAGGGAACGGGAATGAGGGAATGCGGAAATTGGGGAAAGCGGGAATGGGGGAATGCGGGAATGGAGTTTTCTTGAAATTTCAAGCCAGAGAAAGATTTAAACGTGTTGAAAAGAAATCCACTGTTTTGCTATTTTTTAAATGAAAGTGTTGACTCTTTATTAATAATAATACCATAATTAAATAAAGTAAATACAAGGTGGGGAAAAAAGAGTAAGACTGTTCGAATTGCTGCAAAAGCAAAACTAAAAGAGGAATGACACTAAAACAAGTTTAGTGGCATTCAGCGATATCCAACTTAAATTTTGAAATATGCCATGCACATTTCGATGCCATATTGACAAAGATACATGCATTTAAAAAGGAGTAAACATTTTTTGGAACTGTCGAAATTAGCTGAAAATGGATTATTAAATATTAATATAATGTGTGGTTGCTGATCATGTGGCACATTCCAGATTTTATGTTTCAAATAGTCCCAAAGAAAAATGATCGCATACTGTTAGGTCAGGGGAGCGATGGCCAAGGCCAGTCGACACATTTACTCATAACTCAGCCAGGGAATTGTTTCCGAAGGTATTGCATTGCTAATATGAGAAGGAACTTCAGCTTGCTGCCACCATATGTTATCCCTATCGATATTGTGAACATGAAAGTCTCTCTGTACAACGTTGTAACATATGATTTGGAGATACTCTCTCGTGTCGAGATTTCTTTCAACAAAGTGTGGGCCAAGAATAACTGACCACCTCAAACCACTAATTGAAACAATAATCGCGAGAAAATGGTAACGGTTATTCAATTGGTTTTAAAGGGTCTTTTTAACTAATTCTCGGCGTTTCCAAAAATGTTTGCTTAAAGGACATTGGCAACATTATTATTGATTGCTAAATTATTATTACTTATATCTATTAGGTATACTTACGGAATACTTAATTTTATATTTTGGCCAGTTTGTCGCGTTTACTTGTTGAGAAAATGTAATAAAAAGTTCAACAGTTGTCTGCCATTATGAAAATAAACATTTATGTCACAGCATACATTATCTGACGTCATTAGCTGGGTAAACACAATTTCATGACTATAAAACAATACCGAGTATTACCACGCGTAGTGCACTTTGAGCCAAAACAAAAGGCAGAAAAGTTTTACCAAGCATGTACCTTGTTTGTAACACTATTTCTCATAGTATATATCCTAATCCGTGTTATATAAACGCAGAAATTCGAGTGTAACAAGGCAAACACTAATGCAATATTTTATGATTAATTACCTGCATTGTAAATTGCGCCATTCCTTGATTTCCCAGTCGCTCGATATGTTTTTATCTGATAGTGTAGACTTCTCTTGTTTGATTGCGTAGAGTGTTGGCCAGTATAACGCTCAAAACGACATATTTTACTTTACTTTTTAAGTCATAGTAAATTAAACAGTCGTACCTTTTTTTGCACCACCTGGTATAATTATATATATATTAATATTAAAAGCAACTAATTTAATTGTATATTCCAATATTTAGCATATTTACAATTATTGTAACAAGCCAAAAAACCAACAAACCAACAAACCAACAGACAGACAGACAGACCAGACCAGACCAGACAGACAGACAGACAGACAGACAGACAGACAGAGAAATCTTTATTTAAATTCGGTGAACTCTTCAGTGATACCACTGCTTTACAAGAGGGCCGACATTATATTAAAAATAGCTATATACAATTTTAGGCATGAGATGAGATACATTTTTTGAAGATTTGTAAACTATTGCTACATTTTACTTCTTCTGGTAGTTCGTTCCAAACTTTTGCTCCAGAGAAGGCAAAACTTTTCTTTAGGAATTATGTTTGTGCTCTTGGCAAAATTAGACATTGTTTTCTATTTCTAAGAGAATATGCTTGATCTGTGAAAGACATTTTAAAACGGTCACGTAAGTAGACAGGAGCCATATTATTTAATATTTTATGATGACAGACAGACGGACGGACGGACGGACGGACGGACGGACGGACGGACGGACGGACGGACGGACGGACGGACGGACGGACGGACGGACAGAAAGACAGACAGACAGACAGACAGACAGACAGACAGACAGACAGACAGACAGACAGACAGACAGACAGACAGACAGACAGACTTAAAAAATCAATTTTCCTTTAAATACAATAACTGATATTTTATTTATTCTGGCAGTGGAAATCAACGCTTGGCGGCAAAGGATGAGAACCGAGGCAATAGGCGCCGAACATGGAGACCAAGGTGGCACATTAAAATCGACAGAAACGAACACACACGTCGAAAAAGATGAAACACATGGTAACTTACTACACTATTCACTAGCTTTTCTCAAAATTAAAGACTAATAAAGGGACAATGCTCAGTCAGTTTGAGAAATAACTTTTGGCACTCTGTTTTATATACAAGATTGCTATCATGTCAACAAGTACGATCGTATTATAGTTGACTAGGAACTGCGTGACAGAGTTCCAATCTTGTGCAAATCGTTAAACGTTCAAAACCTTCGAGATTTTGTCTTAACGAATAACTAGACATGCACTTGTGAAACTAATGATTCTCGAAGTGTTGGCAGCGTAGACTGAGTTCACATTTCACTAAATGTTTTACTTTAATTTGGTCATGCAAGATACTTTATCCTGGCAAAAATGTATCTAGTGCCGTGTATAAATGAGGTGTAAATCTGGACAAAGCATAGATAACTAAATGCGCAGTTTTGAAAAGTATTTCCTTTAAGCTTCGGATACACGAGCAATATTTTTGCTGCCATGGTTACGCAATGGGTAATAACAGCATTGCGTTGCCGTCGCACAAGGTGGCTACACCTGCAATATTTCACCTGCAATATATCGGTCTTCATAACGCTTTTCATTGGCTGGTCAAGAAACGTGTTATTCATCAACCTTGACCACACCTCCCAATTTTCGGCAATCATTGCTGAAAATCAACGATTTCGGCAACGATTGCGCACAGCTTTGCGTTGCCGTCGCAGAGCATGATACACAATCAATTTCTTTCTCGCGACGGCAATGCAACGATTTTACCACCATTGCATTGCCATCGCCAGAAAAGTATTGCCCGTGTATCCGTAGCTTTATCATGCCGTGTAAACGGGGCTTAAGTTAAGGTAACAAATTATCTGAATTGTTGCTAGGTTAATAATAGCTTCATAACTACACGCTTGTGCTAAAAGCAAATTGACATGTCTTTGTTTTTACGGTTTGCGCTACTCTACGACTATAATCTATATGAAAATACAATGATAGCCAGATAGGAGTATTACTCCTCTGCGCTTTGAGAAACTATAAGCCAGAGTGTTAAATTTAGTCAAACTTACTTATAATTAATCGTTATAATTAGTCGTTCACATTCATGAGAAGCTTTAGACTATTGCGATTGTGTTCACAACAATAGAGAAGACAATGTCTTTCTGATCGTTTGCGTTTGCTGATATACTTGCTGAATATTAAGTGATATGTATATATTATTTGCTACCAATACAGTCAAGAATTGCTTGTATCTTGCCTCTGAAGTCAAAAATGAAAAATCTGACACCGTAAATCGATGCAAAATATTGCTTAGAATAATTATGTCAAGTTTCATTCCGATCAAACAAGTAATGACGGAGTCTTAGGGTTTTTTCAAAGAGCGTCGCCCCCTCGGCGGCGGCGGTGGCGGCGGCGACGACGACGACGACAACAACAACAACAACAACAAGATTAGCAGCGATTGGGGATCAGTTCTTGGTCCAAAAAGTGGAAAATATTAGACTAGTGCAGCAGCGTGCACTGGATAACATCGAATAGAATGATACACCTTTCTAAAGAGTGTGCGATTTCAAGAGTACAGTGCACTATTTGTTAATTCAAATGATTTCAAAATTATTCTAGGAAGTTTGGTTAAACCATATTTATCATTACTGGGGATTGCTACACGAAAATAAGCATGGTTAGATGGTTGTTTTTAGTCCTATTTTTGCCTAAGTAATTTAACCATGCCTGAAAAAGAACGTAAAACATATCATATGATAGAAATAAAAATTGACAAAATTGCTGCCAGTACGTGGAAGAAGAGTTCAATAAATCAAATTGGGCAAGAACACATATAGTCAACAAAATATCTCTTTGTAGTCTTGATTCAATAACATTGTAATGTTGGTTATGGACTTACATGCATGGTGGTGATACAAAGCGAACGTAACAAGGCCAGATTTCGTGCTCGACCAATCTGCGCATTTGTTTACATTTTCGTTCTCAACTAATCACAATGCAGGAAACGAGAAATTTACACCAAAGCGAGCTAGAAAATATTGCCGTCTTCTCGGGCTTCCGTGACATTCAATTTTAGCTTTTCTTTAATTTAAAACCAAAAGATTATGACACAGCACATTAAGTGCCGTGGGCATTTTTGAATTTCGACCAAGAACGGAAAATATTCATGTTTGAAATTTTTCCAAATTTTTCCCTATGTCGCGTATACAAATTTGAGTAATCTAATTTGACTGCAATAAAACTAAAAATTGCTATATTTTCTCTGCTTTACGTTTTTGTTGGAAAACTCTTTTTCGCTCTTGTTGAAAATCGTTTTGGTCCATGTACATGGTTAGGGATATTTCAGATCCGTCAGAGCACCTAGTCACCAGGCTTTTTCTGACACGGCCACAAAATTCACTATGGCGCCCAACAAGGAGTGGAAGTACTAAATATACTATTATTCAGTTTCTTCTTTATTTTTCGAAATACTTTTTTGGTAGAAATACAAGAGATGACAGGAAATACCAGGTATTTTATTTTTATCTGAAAAAAACTTTGACGCAGAAAAGAATTTTTCTCAGTCATGGATTATAAAATGTATAATTTATAGTATATACAACTGCTGAACAATAGTTGTTCAAGTACTGATACAGTGATACTGCTGTCCGTGTTTAGCCTGCGTCGCATACTTCAAAAATGTGTTTTGAAGTATGCGACGCTGACGCAGGCTATCCGTGTTTGGGATGTCATTAGTTCAAATACCTAGTTCGTTTGTTTTAAATTACCATTATTGAAAAGATTGTTCACCTCAATTACCTGTGCATATAAAATTGCTATGTGCTTGTTTATTTCTGCCAGGTATAGGGTGTGAAACACTTGTCAGTCAGTCGGCAAATTGTCTCCCAGTCAGCAAACATGAATTGGATAGGAACGAACCAAAATATTTGTATTTTAACCATATTTATACATTTATATACTCATAGGCGTATGGGAAGGGGGAAATTAGGGGGGGAAGGAAATTTGCCCGACTTTTCCCCATTGTGCCTGACCTGTCAAAAACAATTTTCGTGAAAACTGGTGGGGGGGGGGGGAGTCGTGGGAAGCAACAACAAAAAATTTCAAAATGTATTATAACTTTATATTTTCCCCCCAATATTGAGAGAATTTCTCCTATTTATTTTTAGAATAATATTGCCCAACTGTGGAGCGAACATTGCCCGACTGGCCTAGCCTGCCCAACTATTTATATATATGTATATATATAGAAAGAGACAAAAACTTAGCAAGCTTTGTTTGACATATTTATTACTATACAGTTTCGTACCACGTAAATAACGTGGCACTCTTCAGATAAAATAGCCTATGTTTGACCTCTAGCTTCTAACGAACTTTTTAAATATGTACATGGTAAAGGATGCTTATCTAATTACAGATCAATTAACACCTTAAGCAGTGTCACGAAATATTAGTATCAAGTTATAAAGTTTTTACGTAGATATTTATTAGCGTGTCTACACGTGGAGACAAGTTCGTTCCGACGATTAAGTGTTGCAATGTCCGGTTTACAAATAATAAAATACTTCTCCCAAATACACAAGTTACATCTCTTGGATGCATTACTGCAAGATTTAGCACATTTTAAAATTTTCCATCTGATAGAGTAACTAATGTTGTTCTTAAGATTCCAGATGTATTTACTTAATTCAGACAGCGCTTCTCATAGTTATTAAATGAAGCTTTGTGATTGGTGTATCGGGTTTTGAATTCATGTGGCCTGGTAGATAACAGATTTTGCTAGACAATTTTTTGACACAAACATATATCCCCCTATGTAAAATTATATAATTTTACATATAAGATCCCCTCGACAGTGCCTGAAAAGCCTCCAGGTGTTATAGAGTGATTACGGTAAACAGAAACAGCATCATATTTGGGAGGGACCAAACATAAAAAGTAGTATTGATACCCTCGATCTCTCCAACTTTAGAGAGGGTATCAATATTTAGAAGCAAGGGGCTGAAATTGAGATTTTTGGAAATTTTGAGAAAAAATCCCTTATTTCAATCACACTGAGCATTAAAATTTCGGGAGGGGGTGCAAATTTCTCTAGGTGGGGTGGGAACACTTGGGGGTGTGCAAAATGTTTTGGGGGATCCCCAGAAAATCTGTCTATTGCCATGGCCCCCAGCATAATACAATATTGAATGGGGTGATTAGAGACCAAAATCCAGGGGATGGTCTGAGTTTAAAGCCACTTTCCAGGGGTATCTGGCAATGAATTCCTAGGAAATTCCAGGGAAGGGGTATATAAACTGAATTCCAGGAGGTCACATTTTAGATTGTGAAAAGATGTCCTCCCCCCCCCCCCCCCCCCTGTGAGGAAAATAAATGCAATCTGCCAATGTATTGTAAAACACCATTTCTCCTGTTTTACAATTGTGACTTCCTAGGACTCCCTGGGAAAGTTTACCCTGGGCCCCGCACAACCCTTTGACACCCCTGGCTACACTAGCTTATTTTAATAATGTAAAAATAAAATGGATTATCAATTAATGTCTGATTTATTATTTGTGTTGATCATGTACTGATGCAGTACATGGAATTTTCGAACGAAAATTTATATACATTGTTCTAGATGGAAATTTCGAACGAAAGTTTATATACAATGTTAGGCGTAACTGGGAGCAGCTGGAACTTTAAGCCTTCTAAACAGGAATCTGACCACTGAGCTACAGAGACCAGTTGCTGGGAATTAATCACAAGTTGCTGTGTATCTATTAATTTGGTGATGGGCTTACGTTAGGGCTTGTTTTTAAATTTTGTCATCTATTTGGAGCAATGATGCTTGCTGCAGAATATTGAATATAAATAAAATTAACGACAGATATAAACTATTAATATAGATATAAGAAATTCTTATCTGTGTCAAATTCTTTTTTCAGATAAAAATAAGATACCTAGTGTTTCCTGTCATCTCTTCATTCTCTTGTATTTATAATAACAAATATTTCGAAGAATAAAGAAGAAACGACAATAGTATATTACTCCACTCCTTGTCAGGCGCCACATTGAATTTTGTGGCCGTGTCAGAAAAAGCCTGGTGACTAGGTGCTCTGACGGATGTATTGTTTCATAACCTAGAAGATAACGTGTTTAGAGAGACAATGTTATTGATTTCCCGTATGAATGGGATATATATTTTTAAATTAGGCGCTACAAACGCGTTATCGTCTAGGTTTTGAAATAAAACATTGACCAAAATAATTTGCAATAAGAATGAAAAAGAGTTTTCCAACAAAAAAAATTAAAAGTTAAAAAAAATTTTAAAAAGTAAAGAAAATTTTAGTTTCATTGCAGTCAAATTAGATTACTCAAATTTGTATACGCGACATAGGGAGAAATTTCAAACATGCAATGGATATTTTCCGTTCTAGGTCGAAATTTAAAAATGCCCACAGCAAAGTTTTAGATTTTAATGTGCTGCATCATAATCTTTTGGTTTTAAATTAAAAAAGTTAATATTGAATGTCACGGAAGCCCGAGAAGACGGCAATATTTTCTAGCTCGCTTGGTGTAAATTTCTCGTTTCTTGCTTTGTAATTAGCTGAGAACGAAGGCGTAAACAAATGCGCTGATTGGTCGAGCACAAACTCTGCCCTTGTTAGTGAACGTACGACTAAAGAGTGAGCAAAATTGCATGCAAGAACATGTAAAAACTGTGAATTGTGACTTTCATGGGATTTAAACGGCCAATAACACACATAAAATATCACAATTTGTCAACAAGATGTGTTCGCAACAGGCTTGTAGCAAGCTTGTCAACAAGTTGTAACAATGTTGTTATTTTATCAGGTGCTACAAGGTTGTCACTCACAACTTGTTGACAAATTGTTCAATTGCAGGACGATAAGAAGTTATGTTGGAACAGCTTGTAACAAGTCTGTTGACAACTTGTCAGTAAGCTGGGAATAAACAGTGCGATCACATCCTGTTGACAATTTGTTGGAACAGGCGAACAGCATTGCTATAAGTCTGCTACAGAGTTATTACAACGTGCGCGTTTTAAGGTGTGCAGTACCGCTCATATTGTACCGAAACTACAGTAATTTCATGCTTAGACTAATATCTTTCACCTTGCCGTTTTCATTTTCCGTTCCTTATTAGTGCTCTGAAATATAATGAGTTTGTGTACATGAGCATTTTTTTTTTTTTCAATAAGTCACTCGCCTTAGAGGAAGGTCCATTGCTCGTTTAATATTTAAAGGCTTTTTTAAATTCGTCAAACCATCTTTCTTCCCTGCTGAATATCGAATCCCTAGTTGGTATTTAATCTATACATACAGCTCCATGAATAACAACAGACGAAGAGCTCGTCAATCATGCCGTGCTAGTGGTCCGAGTGTCTTGAAATTTATGTGTATACTTCAAAATATAAATTGCCATTTTAGGGACGAAACAACGAATATTATCGAAACAGAAAGGTTTGACGACTGCGGAAGAACCATCCAGGATCATTTTAGTTCCGATTCCTGAACCCACGATGCAACCAGCTCAACCTAATCCAGCCGTACCAACCTCACCACCTATACCACAACCTACACCACTTGTAAATCCTGTACCAAATGTACAACCGAAAACACCCAAACCAACAAACCCTGTGCAAGCGGTTTTATATCGTTCGAATGTTCGATGTGCACGAAATTCCATGCCAACGCCAAAACCCGCAATACCTGCGCAACCTGCAAAATCAGCTAGTTCTGTAAGGAAACCAAAACCTGGATAACCTGTGCCATTATTCAATATCAGTTAAACTTAAATGTTTCCTCAGAACAGAGACGAGTGGTTAGCAAAATCCATATAAACACACATACACTCGCAAACTTGGAAGTATCGCAAATTGTATTATTGATAAATTAATAATGAATCATTAAATATACCAAGGTACAATTCGATCTATATAAAGTAAATAAAGTAATTAAATAAAATTTAGATATTGTAACTTAAAGATGCGGTACAGTCCGATCTGCGCATGTGCACAAAGGAGCCCTCTTTTTATTTATAAACAGTTTATTTAGGTTTTTATTTCATTTTATGTTCTTGCAAAGCTTGATTGTCGTGTCTTCATAATTTATTATACTCTAGAATCATGAAAATATAAATAGTTGTCGAATAAAATTCAATATTTAGGATAACGAAATGTAAACAAAGCCTTTGTTTACATACGGACTGTACCGCATCTTTAAATCCAATAAACCGTAGGCTATATGCGTCAATAAACTGTTCGAAAATGTCTTACTTCTGTGGCGATATTCCCTAGATACAAGTGCATCCAAGTTAGCTCGTGGTTAGCCGTATATTTTTAACAAAACTATGCATTTATTTTCCTTAAATATAAATCAGTTCGATTTGGATTTCATTGTCTGATATAATCTTTAAGTGCAAAGTTCACTTCCGGTGTTCTTGCGATTCACGTAAAATACCACGTTATCGACCACTTTCCCCCCGCGATGAGGATACCTCCTCATCCCATAACCTTACTTATCTCCGTGTCCTTCTGCAGGGTATATTTCTGCGATCTTGGTGATAGCCCTTTCATAGTATGATGTTGCCGTCTTCACTTTTAATTTGCGTAGTTTTCCATCCTTTCCAGGAAACACGTTAACAACTCTGCCAGTAGTCCAATTTCCACGAACCGCATTCGAATCTTGAACGGCTACGATATCATCAACTCTGACATTTCTTCTCTCGACCTTCCATTTCTTCCTTGGTACTAATGATGGGAAAACATCTCTGTACCAGCGCGTCCACACGGTGACGTGGGTTTTTCGTCACTCGGAATGGTCCCTGCGGCACCACAGTTGACGCTCGACCAAGGAGAATATCATTGGGGCACAGAAAACTTCCATCATCTCAACCTCGTCCCCAGGGCCTTCGTGCTGAGGAGTCCCCAATCTCGAAACCAGAGCCTGCTATCCTCTGTGGAGGCTTTCTGAGGCTCTGGGAAACACCAGTGAAAGTCCGTGCTCTGATTGGTTGTTTTTCAAGTGCTAATTATTTATTCAAACTGTGGGTCTATTTAGTGATTCAAACGTCGTTTAATTAATATAAAGTTTATTTCTCTTTGTGTATTATGTTTAAACATATCAATGAAACACACAGCATAACTTTAATAAACTTATTAAGCTACCTAGCTTCTCATATGAAATCAATAGACTATTCTGATATTGATATGCCAATAACAAAATGTAGAATAACAACAGTGCAGCATTACCATATAAGGTCGTGATAAGCCGTTGCCTATAATATTTAAAATGACACAACAATCCATGATTTCGGGAGAAAAGAGGGCGTCGTTAAATAAACGTCTGCCCAAATGCCTATGATTAATTTTTTCTTCTCCGAAGAATCTTCGGAAAAGCTTCCCATTGGTCAGTTTCATTAACGGAAGTAATTACGTAACTCAAATGTCAACAATAATTTCGCTCTCGTATCGAAAATATGCCGCCTGTTAATGCTTTCGAGGGAACTCTTATATTTCAAGTATTTATGCTTCGAAATTCAGTTGAAACCAAAATAGAGAAAGTCTATTACTAATTTGCTACGTGGTGAAGACGCCGGTTATCGGGATTCTTCCTACGGAATACGGAAAATCGGCAAATCAAAGCTTGCCCGAGCAGTGATCGAATATTCCTTATAGAATATAGTTGTCTTGTTATTTGTTCACTATTTTAAAGTATAATTCAAGACCAGATAGTTGAGGCTACATCACTTGGCATTGCAGCTATGAGGTTGGATGATGATTTTAAGAATAACATTTCAAAACATGCTCAACTGTTATTTGCAGTTAATTTGCAGTTAATTTGCTATACGGCAGAATAAGTTAAACAAGACGCCTGCTCAGGCGTTCACACTGGCCTGCAAATGGCAACTTTCGTGGTACTGGGTGTAATGTGTAGTAGAGAAGTAGATAGGGATAGGAATACAGGATAATAGGGATACTGGATCATATAAATACAACCAATAAATACAATCATGATCAGCAACTATCAACCATAATATACCAAGACGCCGGCTCAGACGTACCCTCCGGCTACGGGCAACTCAACCTGACAAGCCAGGCCCACTGTAATACTATGATCATCAACTACCAACCGTGAATAATGACGGGCCAATAATAGCGAAGAAATTATATAGTCCTTGATTTTTAATGCCGTTATATGGCTAGTTTCAGGTGCTAAAAAGTTCGTAGACGTAGACGATTCTTCTAAAAAAATACGCCAATTTGCTTCCATTTATAAGATAAACTGATCCCAACCCAAAGCCCTTCTCTAACCCCAATCAGTAAACATCTAATAAACAATTTGAGAATTAAAAGAGTGGGGGGGGAAAGTTGGATCTTGTTCCAAAAACAAATCGAACCGTATCACGTTTCAACTCGCCGCACGCAACACCACCTCGCTGAATACAATCGAAAACATACATTTTATAGTAATATATGATGAAATAGAAAGTAATTTGGCGCAAATTAATGTAATTAGGTGCAAATTTATAATTATGCAAATAAATACAAGAGCACAACGCATGTTTATGAGCCTACAACGTATATTTATACTTGTTAATTAAAAAGTCAAACTGTCAAACCTTTAACTTGTCCTTGTTTGCTTCCACTATATTGTATAAATTCGCTGGATCCAAATTTTGGGGTTTTCGATTCGTTACACAAAGAAAAACACACTAATTCAACACGCAAGAAAGGCCAGAGTGCGAAACACCGTAAAATCCATAGGAAACCGGCACAATTCTTTGAAAATTCAACGAAACTGTGTGAAATATATTAGATCGCTCAGTGAAAAGCCGCCATTTTGAAACTGAACTGAATATGTCACTGGAGCACGTTGCACCCTGAGCCTGCGATGACCTAACGCAAACTCCATTTCTCGTCGAAAACAGAAAAAGAGGGATTTAAGACACTTGGCCTACAGGCCAGTGTAATAACCGTGGTTCAGGAGCCTTTAAAAGATAAAAGCTCTGTGTTGTGACTATTGTCTAAAATAGCTTCAAAAACTCATTAATAATTCATGAGGAAAAACCACAAAGAAAAATCATAAACGTGTATCTTTATATGTGATAGAGATTTCCCTTGATTTACATAAACTTTAAACTTTGATTTTCTCGGGATACACAACTAATTTTTTGAAAGCTATTTCGCCAATGAACTTATACTAGATCCATCGTTTTTGAAGCAATTTAAAACATTCGCAGTGCGTGTTTTATCAGACCATCTTTATATCTGATAAAAAACTGCTGCACATGTTTTAAATAGTATATAAACTCTCTGCAAATCTCCCTATCTGCCGAGCAAGAAGCATGCATGATGCTAAATATAAATCTCGACTATGATTGTATAATGGGTGAAGGTGCTAATAACAAAACGTCAATCATCCTTAATGGGCGAAAACAAATTTGTCATAGCCATTTGGACAGGCGTTTCCTCTTTTCCCGCCCGTACTAAACGCCTGCTAAGCAGGCTATGATTTACCGTAATTAAACAAGTTAAAATAAATCACTACCAGTATCTTACAACAATTCAAAACCATATCACGCAAGTGTTCTTTGAAGAATTAAAGTCGTATAGTAAGCTTAAACAACGGCATAATTCATGTTTGACGGCAATCTCGTACCCAGAGCAATGCCTGTGCGCGGGCTAGGACGGCATTGGCTCTGGGAAATTGACAACCGGAACCCCAAAATTTAGGAGTTCATGTTCTTTGTCGGCATGCACGATTGATAAACGTTAAACCAATCACAGCACAGGAAATATTCAATTTCCCCAGAGCCAATGCCATCCTAGCCCGCGCACAGGCATTGCTCTGGGTACGAGATTGGTTTGACGGCAGTAATGTCTATTTATAAATATCGAGCGGAGTACTGGATCCAAATGTACTGATTTTCGTGCAAAAGTCGCCGGTATTTCCCGAGCCTCAGCAAGCCTCCACAGAGGATTGCGGGCTCTGGTTTCGAGATTGAGGAGGCCCGTGCTTGTGAAGGCCCTGGCTCGGCCACCCCAAATTTTGGGGTGTGAATTTCAATGCGCGAAATTGATTTGTTCTTCAAAATTTCCTATACTTGCTGCTCCAAGACAAGGTAAATTTTATATATTTTTAATCCTCGAGAAATAAGCTATCGGGAAATGTTTGAATCAAGTTTATACGATCAGAAATTTAGAAGTTAGGAGTCAATTTGGCAGCCGCTTGAATTGACTACAATTTTATAATTGTTTACAACATGACAACAACATTACAAATCTTATGTAAGCTCATCCAATTTTTGTTGTAGAGACTTTGTTTACTTCTCTTTCAAAAATATATTGATGTGTCTCGTGTTAGGATAGAAAATAATTTTTAAAGGACATTGGCAATACAAAATTAGTTTTTCTCATTCAAAAGAACTCTTAAAATTATATATTAAACTCTGTCTATCTTGCTTAGTTCTCGAAATATTTAGACCGAAATTAATGAGCTTTCCGCCATTTTGGAAAAATTCTTTATGGTTTTGATGACGTCAGGAGTTGGGTTAACTATATAAAACTACTCTAAAATGACCGAGTAACAATCCAAAATTGTTTGAAATGTTTTAATCATTTCTAAATTTCAGACAGTAACCAGAAACGAAGTTTTGGACCCATATTTGATCGCTTACTCTCAAGATAAAAATAGGTACGCGACCGCATACATGTATCTGCGCATTAAAGGCCCAGACACGCCGGACGCGATTCGACAACGCGACGCGATTTTTCGATTTTCACTGGCCGATAACTTTGATCCAAGTTTAAATTTTCCATATATAACATTTTATAATATTTTAAGCGCTATAACATTTTACTTGGTCTACATATGTTTCAAACTGATTTGCTCTCATTGGCTGTTTTTCAAAAACTGAAAAATCGCGTCGCGTTGTCGAATCGCGTCAGGTGTGTCTGGACCTTAAGGCCTGATTCCACGACGGCGAAATTCGTCGCGAGAACTTGTGTCTGCGAAATACGGTGGTTGCACATGAGCGATAGTTGTATTGAATTGTCCCAATTTGTCCGCTTTCGCAGTAAGTAGAAATGTTTCGCATTTCGCCGAGAAAAAACGCTCGTGGAATCAGGCCTTTACTGCATTGATGTTGCATTCTCGGAATTACATTTTTACAGCAATTGTGCGAAATTGTGCTGGTTAAATTATATGCCTGCTTCAGATATAACATTTACATTTAACCAGCTGTGACTTCTAAATTAAGAGGACGAGAACCATTTATATCCCGAATCACGGCAACTGGTAACAATCTTACAAAAATGTTTTTTTTTATCTGGAGGTAAATATCTGCTATTCATACAATTCATTACTTTTAAGAACATTTTAAAGAAAATAATTAATTAAGGCTGTAAAATGTGTGGATTCAAAGATGTGGGATTAGACGTCTGTACATGGAGTCATGAGCTAATAATAGTTTCTGACATTTAAGGTTACAGAACACCTTTGAGTGTTAGTTTTTTATTGGTTTCCATGAAAGCATTAGGCTAGTTCTACTATCTGACCAAGTTTGGACGAAAAATGTTGAAAACTCGCAGAGTTATTTAATAAAATACATTTCGCTGCAATAAGAAAAACATTGAAAATGTAATATTCAAATTCAATTTTCTCCCGAAAAATTTTACGGTAATTACTGATTTTCAAACAAGTTGTGCTCCTGCGGGTTTTAACCAATTTTTCTCAAATTTTCACAGGACATAGCTAAAGACGTCAGTTTCAAAATTGTGTTCGGCTTTTTTTTAATTTTGGATATTTTAAAAATAAAGAGCAATTCACTCAAACAATTCAGAAATATGTTGCAGTCGTCAAAGAAATCGCCATATCAGCGGAATGACGAAATAAACAGAAATTTCCGAACACTATTTTTTAGAACAACTATTTTACTGTATAAAAATGATATTTTCATAAATATAACTTATTATAAAACCAGCAGGGGCCGGTTGTATAAAAACGTAGTTGGCGCTAACTGTAGTTAGCGTTAATCACTGTAGTTAAATCCTTAACTGTAATTAGTTAACTACATGACTTTACTGCGTTGCACACTGAAACGTAGTTAGTCGGATAGTTAACTAATCACGTAGTTAACTGTGCGTGGGGCTTGCGTGGGGCGTTTAAACACAAAATTACATCAAGTAAGCAGCGAGTAACGACCGCTGACACACATTTTCAACATGATTGTGGACTCGTATTTTGCAAATAGGCGGGAATTTTATTCAAAACACTAGAAAACAGTGAAAAATAAACAAGAAAACAAGGAAAAACCGCCACAAAAATCATAAAAGAATGCAGTTTTTCTTTGAGATGTCTACGTTAAACCAAGGTGTAGCTGTTTGGCAATTATATATCAGTGTTTCTTGGTGTAATGGACCATACTTCGTCTTCGAGAAATCGTCCTGTGCAAAAATATGTTCTGTTTTCGTAAAAACACCAAAGCGATAGCGTTTGAAGAGTTTATATTGTCAGGAAACATTCACAGGGAGGATAGCGATTGAAAATCTCAGGTAAGCGTTGCTTTTCATTATTGTTTTACTGAAAAATGTTGTTCACTCCTATATAAACGCCATTTTTAACTATACGTTTTGGACAGTTAACTATACCCTAAAGCCTATTTAACTTTAACTACTTTTTAACTGCAGTTAAGGCTAACTACACTTTTATACAACCGGCTTAACTACGTGATTAAAGTTAACTATTTTTTAAGGCTTTTTAACTACTTTTTAACTGCAGTTAGCGCTAACTACGTTTTTATACAACCGGCCCCAGGAGCACAACTCAAAAGCGTAACGGTACCGGGATTTAAGATTTTCCTGAATAATTCTTACATTATTTTATTGTTTGTTAATTTTACAACTTTACCATATTTTGCATACCCTGGCGAACATTTGGTGAAAATTTGATTAAAATCGGACTGATATTGAGCGCGCAGTAGCGGTTTTCCGCAAAACGCCAAAAAGGGTGTCTGTAACCTTAAAACAACAGGGCTACGTTTATACTATACTTTGTTTTTATAGTTTAGCCAAGTTTCAGAGGCCTCCATTAAATAACAGTCAAGATATACACGCAAATATAATTTGCTTGTTTATATCTAAAATTTGTAATTGTTTCGTGAAGATTCAAATCCCCAACGCAATTTGCGTACAGGCAGGGGGGGGAGTTGTACAAACGCTCTGTTAACTATTCAGAACAAAGTACTCAGCTTCTTAGATAGAGCGAACTGCAAAGCAGTTAGACTGTTTTCTATGGATTTTAGCAAGGCTTTCGACTCAGTGAAACATTCACTCCTCTCGGAAAAGTTTAAAAAAAAAACTGTGCCACTCAACCCTTATATCATAAATTGGTATTTAAATTTTCTAAAGAATAGAAAGCAAAGAGTCGTTTGTAACGATTTTTGTGGAGAATGGATGGATGTTAATAAGGGTACAACACAGGGGAGCGTAAGTGGCCCCTACCTTTTTAATATTTTCCTAAATGATCTAGAGGTGGACATAGACGGCGAGAACGCTCTTTTTAAATATGCGGACGATTCAAATATAATAGTGCCAGTTTGGAGTGAGGGTCCTGATACATCAACAGATACAGTTGGACAATTCCTGAGCTGGTCTGATGATAATTTTATGACTCGTAACCCTGGTAAATGTAAAGAGCTTATCATCCGGAAGAAGGGATATAATGATCAACTTGACAATGTTTATAATATACCCCAATGCAAAGAACTTCCCATTTTAGGTACTACTTTTCAAGACAATCTCAAGTTCACCAGTCATGTGCGAGGTAAATTGGTCAAAGCAAGCAAATGCTTGTACGTTATACGAACACTCAGGGCAGAAGGCTATAGCCAATGTGAGATAGATTATCTATTTAAGACCCTAGTAATATCTACTATAACGTTTGGCCTGTCCGTCTACGGTTCTTCTCCAGCCGAACTCAATACTCTACAACGGTTTTTTGACAGATGTTTTAAGCGAAAGTATATATCAGAACCTGTAAATATTAGATATCTTTTAGAAATAAAAGACAGAAATATTTTTAAGGCTTCTGTAAATCAGAAGAGTGCCATAGTCGGCTTGATACCAAGAAAAAAATCCACAGGCTACTCTTTGAGGACAGAGTTTAGTCAGTATCCAAGAGTGAACACGGAACGTTTTAAATTGTCGTTTGCAAATAGATTAATTTTTAACTATAACCTATTCATATGATGTAAACTTTACTAATGTATTCTTAATATGTACTTGTAACATAAGATATGTATTTTTATCTTTTGATCTATTAAAAAGACTTTTGAAAAGACTTTTGAACAATTGCCGGAAATGGAAGCCCCGATTATAAAAACTCAGGGAAAACCCGTGCGGTATGAAATGCGTGGCCTGTGCGTATTAAAACATGTCAATCAAATATCTATAAAATTACGGGAACCACTGAGTATTTTAATAAAATATAAAACAACGGTAACCACGAAAATAAACATTTTAATAATATTCTAGCTTTCGACTAAGATTCTGTCATCATCAGGAATGATGCTAGGTTACATTACATCGATATATATATAGTGAAGATTAAGTAATTTGATATGTACAGAAACGATTAGTTAAATATTACAAGTTCTTTTGATGCCTTAGTTCCGTGATTAAGATCAGGTTTAAGTCGTCTAATGGCAAGTGCTTCCTTAAATAGCAATAAGGACCAATGATCAGCTCTGTCTATAATCTTAGAGTTAGTAAATATAAGTTCTGAAAGTATACAAGTTTGAGTTTGGTTAGTTTCTTCGTCTGGATACAGTTCTAAAATGGAATGGTTTCCCTCGAAAATTGTCATTAAAACTAATTGATCAATTCAAACCGTCTACAACATCTAACATTAACGTTATACATCAAGATAACCCTGATACTGATCTAACTAACCCTGTCCCTAAAATCTGGCTACCTTTACCCTATCTTGGCAAATATGGTACCCGACTAACCCGCTCATTTATACATAGAATAACCCCACTACTAAAATTGAAATGCAATTTCATCATTAATTGGAAAACTACTAACAGCAACTCGTTCCTCTCAAACAAAGATAAAACACCGGCTAAATACCAAAGCTCTGTAGTGTACGAATTCACCTGTCCTGGATGTAAAAGTAGATACATCGGTAAAACAGATCGCTGCTTCCACACCAGAATCAAAGAACACTCACTGGACAACAAATCTGAAGTCTTTAACCACATCACATCATGCGAACACTTTCAACATATCAAATCCATTTTAGAACTGTATCCAGACGAAGAAACTAACCCAACTCAAACTTGTATACTTTCAGAACTTATATTTACTAACTCTGAGATTATGGACAGAGCTGATCATTGGTCCTTATTGCTATTTAAGGAAGCACTTGCCATTAGACGACTTAAACCTGATCTTAATCACGGAACTAAGGCACCAAAAGAACTTGTAATATTTAACTAATCGTTTCTGTACATATCAAATTACTTAATCTTCACTATATATATATCGATGTAATGTAACCTAGCATCATTCCTGATGATGACTGAATCTTAGTCGAAAGCTAGAATATTATTAAAATGTTTATTTTCGGAGTTACCGTTGTTTTATATTTTATTAAAATACTCAGTGGTTCCCGTAATTTTTAACAATAGTTGTTTACGCTTTATTGATGATGATCTGATGCATTTTTAAATTTTTTCGCACTTTGTACTGAGTAGGCTGTGTAGCCATCTATTCTGTAACCTGAAGTTCAGGCCCTAATTTGAAATAGGGCCTGACACAAAACCTGTCTAGACCGTGAGACGCCCACATGTTATTTTTAGACACACATGCAATATGATTGACAAGTGTTGTAGATTTCGTTAATACACAAAAAAATTATATTCTCATGAACGTGTCCGCAGAGCAT